AGGGATGGGGAGGGGGTGAAGGGGTGGGGGAGGGGGCAGGGACAGGGGAGGGCAGCAGGGGGATCCTCTCCCACTCACTTGCTTCACCCACACATTTGTCGTCATCATCTGGTTCTTCTCGTCCTAGGACACAAAGGAGGGGAAGGGAGGTCAAGATCCCCTCGGTAACGGGACACGTCTCTCCCTGGCCCTGAGTGTCCTTACCCACAAAGATGAGCCAAGGCTGAACACGGGGAGTGGGCAACCTTAGGAGGGAATGAGCACCTCATCCCTGGAGGCAACCAAGCCCAGGATGGCAGTCCCGAGGGGCTGGGGGATGTGGGGGCTGGGGGATGTGGGGACAAGGCCCTCTGAAGCTTTCCAGAAGGAAAGTGGGGACAGGTCTGGCCAACTTCACAGGCAGCCGGGCCCTGCCCTCCCCAGCTCAGGACAGGAGGCAGCTCCCAGGGCTCCTAGGCTGCGGGAAGAGCAGCCGGCCTCCTGGACAACCCTGCCGGCCCCAGCCCACCTGCTTTGCTCCCTCCCAGCTGGTCGGGCAGCCCCTCTGCAGATGGGCCCCAGGTGAGCAGGCACCTGCCCCCTCCTGCTGCCACCAAAGCCACCCGGGTACACACGGGGCCCCACTCGCTGGCCAGGCTGGCCCCTAGCCAACTGCCCCTCTGGGACCCGAGCCTCAGGCCCTGGAGGTGGACAGGTGAGGCACTGGATCCGGTGAGACGGACCCGACTGGTTCCATCTCCAGGTCACTGGGCGGCCACCTGTCCAGGTGAGACGGGCTGGACCATACTGCCCCCCTCCCTGCGGTCTCCACCCCCTTTATTCCCTACTGGTTCACGGGGGACAGGCGTCAGACGCATTCCTGCTGAGGGGCGACAGGTGAGACCTGTCCTCTGCCCAGTCAGATCCCAGCACAGGCCAGAGACTTCTGGAGAAGAACGCCGGGCTCCTGCAGGGACGCAGGGGTCTTTGGGGACAGGAACCCCCAGGGTCCTCACACCCCACTCTGGGTGCTGAATGCCGACCTCTGGGAGCCACGGCCACACCCCAGCCCACTTGGGACCCACTCTGGAGGGGAACTGGGCTGCACGGCTGGCTCCTTGCCCAAGGTTTGGGGTGGGGTCCTCAGCAGCCAATGGGAGGATCCCCTCAGAGAGCACGATGCCCATGGGGACCCGAGGGGTGAGGGCTCTTCCCCTGGGGAAAGGGGGCAGGACCCGGGGCGCAGGGTGTTGGGGGCAGGGCCTGAGCAAGGTTCTTCCCACCCTCTGATGGCTTTTCCTCATCCACCTTTTTCCTCATCCACCCAGCCCAGGGACACACGAGGCCATCAGGAAAGACTGCTGAAGCCAAAGAACAGCACCCCAGTGCCTAGACCAGGGTCAGGGTGAGCCTTGTGTCCTTAAGGCACAGGCCTGACCGCCTCCCCCTCCTGCTTCCCCCAGGGGACACGCCCCTGTCCTCCAGTTCTGGGAGAGGGGACCTTGTCCCCTGCCAGCTCCAGGCACCACCCCTGGTCCTGCTCTCTTGAGGGGCCACCTGGGATGGGCCACCTGGGATAGGCCACCCAGCTGCCTGAGCAGGACCCCCCTGAAAGGACGCTGAGGAGTAAGTGCGGCCTGAGCAGGGCCCAGAGCCTGGCGCCTGGATGCAACATCGCAGGACCTCAGCAGGGAGCCTCGCACCGCCACGCCCTGCCCTGGGGGACAGCCTGCCCCTGCTCTGCCCCAGGCTCACAGCGAGCTCAAGGTGGCAGGGCCTCACCTCCTCCCCGGGTGCCCTCCCAGCCCACGTGCTGTCCCCCCAGCGCCCGCGTGAGGTATATTCACAGCACGCAGCATCAGCCCAGGGTCCAGAAGGTGCCCAGGGATTTCTCAGGCTCCTCTGCAGGCGTGAACTCACACACCCAAGCAGTCCCTGCCCAGACACAGGCCTGCAGCAGATACAGGAGCCCCGCAAGGGGACGGGCGGAGAGTGGCCCAGACACGGGGCAGCCCCTTCCACAAACGTGGCCACAGGCCTCGAGCCAGCAACCAGGGCTCGGGCGAGGACGGCTCACCAGCACACACGCGTGTGCGGGCGTGGCCTCAGCCAGGTCTGGTGCCGACAGCAGAGCCTGCCTGGTGCTGCCTGGGGCCTCGGGCAGGTTCCTCACAGGCTTGGTGTGCTCCGGGCCTCAGTCTCTCCTGGGCAGACTGGGGAGAGGTGGTGGTGTGGGGAGCCATGAGCGAGCCCCAGAGAGCTCAGGTAGGAGGCCGGTCGTGATGCAGCCGACCTGGAACCGTGAGCGGCAGCCAAGGGCTGCCTCTGCCAGCCACCACCCTGGACCGCGTTTGCAAACCTCAGCGGGTTCGTGAACTCTGCGTATCTCGCGTTGCCTTCTGGCTACACCCCAGCTGGGGGCACTTTACAGGAAGCCTTCAAGGATCAGTTCCAGGATGCCTGAGGGCACAAGCCTGGACACGACTGAGGACAGGACAGACTGACCGGGTCTCCCTGCTAACGGGGCCCAGGCTCAGCTCTTTCTGTCCATCTGAACGTGGCCACAGGCCCTCCTACCTCCCGAAGCCCCTCAGATGTGGTTGCTCAGCCTGAGACACTGCAGCTGTGCCCATCCCATCTCACAGCGGAGAAGATGGAGCAGCCAAGGTCACCCTACGTGCATGGCACCAGCCTGGAGCCAGGGCCTCCAGACCCCAAAACTGAGTGGTTCCTCCCCTCACCAAGCCGACTCAAGGTTGGGGTCCTGGCAGGGGAGTGCGGTGGGCATTTGGGGACATCTACGGCTCCGTGCAGCTGGACGCATTCCAGCTCCCTCCCTGGAACCAGAGCCGGCTGGATCTTAGCGTGGAAACTCAGTGGGCCCTGGGCCTCCTTACAGACAGCGAACCAGGCTCCCAGAGGCCCCTCCCCACCAGGCCGGAGCCCACACTGCAAGGCTCCTGGCCGTGCACCCACCACCCAGTCAGATCACACCCGAGGATGGGCCCCCGCCCCTCCAGAGCTGTGGCCACTTGGAGGCTGGACCCCCAATGTCTTCCCAGCAGCTCCTCAGTCCCTAACCAGGAAGGTAGACACCCCACACCTGTCCGAGACTCGCCGGAACCCTGCATTGCAGGCCGCTGGGCAATGGGGTCTCCCGGACCAGGTGGGGTCAGGTGCTGCCCGGGCACTGCAGAGCCTGCCCCTACCCCACAGAGGCATTTGCTGCTCTCTGCTTCTGAAGGTGACAGCCCCGACCCGCTGCTGAACCCTGGCCTTTGGGGTTTCTGTGGGGGGGGGGGACACAGGGCCTGGGGCACAGTCGCACAGAACCACGTTACTCCCGGACTCCAGACAAGGGCGTATCTGTGGGGGTCGGGCGCGACACACACAGCCACGTGGAGCGCCGATGGCGGTCCTCCCAGCTCACCCAGCCTCCCCCGGCCCCGGGGCCTCCTCCAGGACCAGCCTCCTCGCAGACAGGGTGCTCCCTTCAGAGTGACCCTCTAGGCCACATGTGACAGCCAAGGCCCAGAGCTCCCCGCTCCCCACCCCTGGCACCTACCACGTCAATGAGCTGGGCGATGGACAGGCCGAAGTGGACAAGGACCACATCTGAGATGTTGGCCACGGGCCGGGACCACTTGTTGTAGCCAGAGAAGAGTTTCTTCAGCAGCCGTTCCTCCGCGTGGGCCCGGGTCTCCACATGGCTGCTCACTGTGGGGGCAGGCAGGCATGCAGCTCAGGGGTGGGGAACGGTGGCCTCCAGGCTGCCCCCTCCGGCCTCATGCCAGACCATGCTCAGCCACCCTGGCTTCCTTCTGGTACCTCACTGCACATTCCTCCCACCTCAGGACCTTTGCACATGCTGCCTGACTCCTGGCCTCAGTCTCTCCTCTTCACGGGGAGAGGCTGTATCTCCAGCTACTGACAGAGTCCTGAGAGCCTTGCCTCCAAGCACTGGCAGGGGTAACGGCAGGACAGGACGCCAGGGGGCAGAGGGCATTGGGGGCAGGCCCAGGTGGGGACAGAGAAAGGGGAATGAGGGCTGGCGGCTGAGAGCCTGCTTCCTGTGGCTGCTGCAGCAACTCGACTCACTCCCCAGAAGAAATCCCCTGACGCTTAAGGGGCATTTAAGTGCCTATCTGGTCTTGGATGGACACACAGACTGTCCTCCATGAAGGAGTCTGGGGTGAGCCCCCACTCTGCTGCCTGGGGAGAGGCCCTCTCATTGGGCTCAGCCCCATCGGCCAGTCTGTGGTCTGAGGCCTCCCTGCCTCTCCCGGGTACTGCACTGGTGCCATGGCATCCTGAGGTGGTTGGGGAGGGGGCAGGAGACCCCTGCTCCCTCCTCCTCTCAGCGAGGTCCTGCTCATCTGCGAGCCACAAACATGACCTTAGGAGGGGTTCACAAGCTCCCCTGGGATCAGTCCTAGATCCTCAGGGCTGCCCAGGGGGTGGGAGGGGAGGGGGGTGGAGGGGGCTGGAACTTCCCCTGTCCCAGGGAACCGAGGGGGGGGGAGTAGAAAAGGTGCCTATGAGGTGCCACTAAGGGCAGAGGCCACCCCTCTGATCCCTCAAACCAGGAGCAGGCACCGGGATGTCTGTAGGGAAATTTGGCCGGCTGGATGAGGGGGGTTGGGGGGAGATGGGCCCCGCCTCTCTCCACCCAAGTTGGAGCGTCTGGGTCCAGCTCCTGAAACAGCAGCCCGCACCCCACCCAAACCCTCTCCTCCCATTCGCGGGCGGGTTAACTCCTTCCGTGCCGGGCTCAGCCCTCACCGCATGACAGCCTTTGCGTCTCGGGGGTGGAGGAGCCTCCGCGGCTGTACCATTGCGCGCACCCGCGGCTTGGCACCGCAGCCAGGAGCCTCTCCTCCTCTGGCTCCGGAGGTCCGGGGCCGCCTGAACTGAGCGAAAGAGGGCCCGTCCAGCGCCTCGAAACTTACCGGGCAGGAGGCTGACCCCCAGAAGCAGCAGCAGCGGCGGCGGCAGCAGCAGCGGCGTTGACGCCCCCGGGCCGCCGAGCTCCATGGCGCACCGAGGGGGCTCTAGACGCGGGCAGCTCCCGGCTCCGCCTCGCCCCCGCTCCGAGGCCCGCGCGCACCCAACTTCATGCCCCCCGCGCCGCGCGGGCTGCTCCGTCCGCCGGGCCTGGCTCGGCCGCTCCTCCCGCGGGACGCGGCGGTGGAGACCGGGCCCGGAGCACGGGGCTGTGGGCTCAGCGGCGCGGCCCCGCCCGGACCTGCCCGCCTCCAGCCGGCGAGGAGGAGGGGGAGGGGGGAAAGAGGAGGAAGCAGGAGGGAGGGCGAGGACTCTAGTGGAGGAGGAAGGGGGGGCAGACCACGCGGCTGGAGGGGGCTGTGCTCGGCCGGCGTGGGGGCGAAGTTTCCCTTGTCCTCTCGGGGCTGGGGACGTCACGGGTGGGAGCCCCGTGGTCACTGCATGGGACTGAGGGATCCCGGCACCGGTCTGGTTTCCGGACCACGAGACACTGACCTCCACCCTGGAGGCGGGGCGCGCACCCAGGTCTCCAGGTGCGAGCAGGGGGCCCCGCACACGTCTGGTTAACTCCATCACCCCCGCGCCGCTTTGCCGTTGGAAATCACAAGTCCCTGGTCGTCTTCCCCGGCGAGGCGTTCAGGAAAGAGCCCACCCCGCGTCAGCCTGTCCCCGGCGAACCGGGAAGCGTCCACTGGGAGCCCAGGCCCCGCGGCCCGCCTGTCTGGGGAGAGGGAAGGACCCTGACGCCCCCTCCCCGGGCGAAGCCGCCTCCAGGTCCGGCCTGGGGCCGGGGTCCGCAGCCCTGCGAGCCGGTGGACTGCGCGGGCGTGAGGGCCGCCCCCCATCCCACTCGCCGTGGGCAGAGGCTGGGAGGCGGCCGCGGAGGGTCTGGGTCCGGGTGCTAGGAGAACAGACCGCAGCGCCCGGGACTGGTCTTGAACAGCATCTGCGCCGGGGGCCCTGGCGGGGGCTCCGCCTGAGGTGGGCCGAGGTGGCCGCCGCCGAGCAGCAGGTGCTCGGAGGAGGGGACGGGAGGGGCCGCTCCGCACTGTGGAACTTGAGCTACGGCGAGGAGAGGGCGCCGCTCGGCAGAAACCGGGACCCGCGGCCACCCCTGCGCGCCGCGACCCCCGCGCCCCAAACGGAGAATTGGGGTCCCGGCTGCGGGCGGAGGAGGAGGGGCTGGAGCTGTCTCTGCGCTCCCCTGGCGTCCGCACCCCGCCCCTGAGGGAGCAGAATGCCGGTCACGAGCCCCCTCGGTCTCCGGGACCCGACACAGGCTACGCTGAGAGTAAGAGGCGTGGGTCAAGGCGGCAGCTTCCGCCAGCGATGGCCCCTGCCCCTCCTCATCTCCTCCTACCCCCTTCCCATCTCCCCTCCCCCATCTCCCCTTGCACTCTACTCATCTCCTCTCCTGCCCCCTCCTCCTCATCTCCCTCTGCCACCTCCCGATCTCCCCTCCCCCATCTCCCCTGCCCTCTCATCTCCTCCTGCCGCCTCCTCATCTCCGCCCTCCCCATCTCCCCCGCCCCCTCCTCATTTTCCCTCCCCTATCCCCTCTTCTCCATCTTCCCCTTTCCCCCCATGTCCCCTACCCCCAGCCCACAGCACTCTGGCTCTCACACCTGCTCTGAGGCCTCCAGGGGCTCTTCTCACAAGGGCTCTCTGCTCCCAAGCACACAGCTTTCAAAATGCTGGGCCCTGAGAAACAGCCAGTCCCAGCAGTGATGTTCGTTCCCAGTCTGTGGGCTTCCCAGACGCTGGCCCAAGCTGTTGAGACACGTGGACTCCTTGAGCTCCCACAACACCCCTATGAGGTGGGTTCTTGTGTCCCGATGAAGAATGGAGGCACAGCAAGGTTAAGCCACATGCCCAGATCACGCAGCCAGTAGTGGGATTCCAACCCAGGCCACCTGGCTTCAGGATCTGCACCCTGGCTTCCTCCTGGCCTCAGGCATAGCATGTCCCAGGGCTGGCCTGTGCCCCTACTGAGAGGATCTCCCCCATGGACCCCATGCTCTGTCCTTTCCTGGAGCCAAGGGAAGCTTGTCGTCTAGGAAACCTCCTGGACTGCCAGCCCCAGTGCATCGCCCTGCCTCAGGCCACCCCACAGGGCTGGAGCCTGGTCTGGCTTGTGTCCTATTTCCGCAAGCAGGCCGAAGTCTCTCCAGGCAGGACCCCTGTCCCCGTTCCTCCTTCTCAGCCAAGACCCCCCCGCCCCCACAGTGTCAGACCCTGGGTTCCTCAGCATCTATTATGCCCCTTCCACAAGCCAGCCCAGTGCTAGGAACCAGAAGGTTCTCCAAGCTGGTTGGAGAGTCGGCCTGAACCAGGAGCTGGAGGACAGGCCCTGCCTGCTGCTACCTGGGTGCAGGGAGGGAGGAGGGCAAACCCGGCCGACCTCCTCATGTCACCCGGAGCCTCCCTCTCAGGAAGAGGACCCGGGGAGGGTGACAAGCGCCCGTGTCTCCAGGTGGGAGAGTGCTCGCAGCCTCCTCGTGTTCACGTCCTGTCTGCATGGGAAAGTCCCTCTTCCACGCCACCCCGGCACAATCGGGAGAGTGCCTTGCAGAGCTGATTCCACGCTCTTTTATGAGTAATAGAGGCCAGCTGTGCTCCAGGTCCCTTCTGGAAGCCTCTTCCCATGATCTCAGCATCCCTAGGAAGAGAGGGCACCGTTACACTCGCTTGGCAATCTAGGAAGGTGGGGGTTTGCCGCTGGCTGATGAAGTGATATCTGCCCGTCATCCTGGGGCACACTGATGCCTGTTGGAAATGAAGATGCTCCCACAGGCCTCTGCTTTTAGGCTCATCCCTCGGGACTTGTTAAAGTTGAGCACTCCTGCAAATGTTAGGCTGGAGTCAGAGGAGAGGGGGGTGTATGGTGAGCTAGGCCAATCTGTGAAGGCTTCCTGGAGGAAGGGGCACACGAGAAGGTAGCCCCGGGGACTGTGGACGTCCACCCATTGCCGTGCACAGGGAATCACCTAGGGAGTTTGCGTAAGCTCCAGATTCTGGCATCCCACCCTCAGAGACGACTATTCAGCCCCATCTGGCCATCTCCAGGCAACTCTGATGAGGAGCCTTCAGACTCAGAGCTGATTTGGCCCAAGGACCCCTGCAGAGGATCAGGCTGGCCCCCACCCCTGACCCCTGGCTGGGTGCTGGGCTTTCCCTGGGGCCACATCTGCATGGGGAGAGGCCCTGGGCTCTCAGCAGGAGCCACAGCAGCTGACAGGCTGAGTCAGCACTCTGTCCCGTTTCCCTTCACTTGGGCTCAAGCCTTCGAGATGGTGGCTCTCGATGGCCATTCCCACAGGTGAATTCAGCCAGAGATCCCAGCCGAGTCCAGCAGGCCTGTGTCTCCTGGCTCCTGAGGCTGGGCTGGGGTTAGTGCAGATCCTGGGGGCTCTGGCAGACACAGCCCTGAGGCCAGCGTGCACACCCTCACACACATCTGTGCAACCTCGCCTGGCTTCCCCCGCGGCTTTGCAAGATTAATCGTGTCTAACGCATTAATTTGCACAGCCCTCCCTCCCCACATGCGCTGGCTGGAAAGCACTTGTCACGGCAACCTAGTAATCATGACAGCCGCTGAATTAGATTCTTACTCCAGGCCTCTGGGCCCCTCCCTCCGGCTGCTCCTGAAACTGCTCTTTCAGAGGAAAGGAGAACCTCCAATCCACAAACGAGTCCCGCTTTGGGGCACAGGGGCCTTTGTGGCAGGAGCCGTGTCCTCTGAGGGTGGGGGCCGAGGCAGGGAATGATGTGGAGCAGGGTCCTCGAAGACCCTCCCCACACGCACCCCCCCAGCCAATGTCACGCCAACTCCAAAGCTGGTCACTGGCTGCCGTGGAAAGTCACCTCTGCGGGAGGGGCCCCTCCCTCTCCCTCCTGTGCTTGCCCTCCACCCTCCATCCTGTCCCAAGGACATTTCCATGGTAACCAGTTGTTGGATAAACAGTGATTTGAATTAAAGGTGGGAGCTTCAGCTGAGTGCCAAGTCTGAACTACACCAGGAGCAAGGACTCCACGTGGGGGCCGAGGGAGGCAGGCAGCAGGGACCGGCCACGGAGGGAACAGGAGGGGGCCCATCAGCACCAGGACCCAGTGGGGCTTTAGTGACCCACGGGAGCCATGGGCAGTGCTGGTGAGCTCAGCGGGGACACAGGAGTCCTGCCTGTACTCCCAACCCCTAGGGGACTTCCTCCTCCACCTTTTCAGCCAGGCCCCACCCGTAGGGGAGGGGGATGTCCATCCCTGCCCTGCCCTAACCTCCCTCCTACCCAGGTGACACTGCACCTGATGTCCCTCCATTTCTTCCTAAGGTCAGCCGCAGCAGGCCCTTTACAACCCAAATACCCCTGAGAGAGGGGACACGTGAAAAGCGCTGTGCTCTCTTGTAAATGAACTTTCCAGATGTGTTTTCTCTCACCACCCCCACTTCTGCCCCATAACATGCTCTGTTTCTCTTCCTGTACTCTTCACCACCAAATGTAATATTGCATGTTGTCTGTTGGTCTCTCCTCCACCCCCACCCCTGCCAATAGTGTAAGTTCATGAGGGGAGGCTCCATGCTTTAGACACAATGCCTGACCCTTAGTAGGGGCTGGGTAAACATGTTGAATGCATAGATGGATGGATGAATGGATGGATGGATGGAGGAGTGAATGCATGGATGGATTGGTGGATGGATGGATTGGTGGATGGATGGACGGATGGATGGATGGATGGATGGTGGGTGGGTGGATGGATGGCTGAGTGGATGGATGGATGGATGGATGGATGAGTGGATGGATGGATGGATTGATGGATGGATGAGTGGATGAATGGATGGATTGATGGATGGATGGATGGATGAGTGGGGGAATGGATGCCTGCTAAGAGAGCGTAAGGGAGGCCGGGTCCAGAGTGGGCCCCTATTGTGCTACACATCAACCCCCTACCCGGGCCTGGACCCCACACATTCAGGCTGAGAGGATCCAGGTATTTGGGGCTGGTCCTGGGCTTACGGGCAGGCAATACCCCAGGAGGGAGGAATGATGACCATGTTGGGTCAAGCGGGAGCAGGGATGCTGGGAACTGGGGAGGGTTCAGAGCTGTCCATTTCCACCTCATCGATTTCCCTGTCATCTGTCGGGAATGGATCAGGAGTGACTTTAATGCTTCTCACCTCACTGGGCCTGGGAAGGCCATCCTGCCCTCTCTCCAGTCGGGGGTCATACCCACCGCCTGGCTGCCCCTGAAGCACTCCTCTCAGCCAGCCCTCTCCATGGGACCCTCCCCC